AGTGTCGCACACGGATCCCAGAGGGTTGGGGTCCGTGTGCGACACTCCGCCTTTGAAGGGGTTGCACCTTCTGCAGACGAAGCAGTGGGTCTATTTATATCCCCCCGACCCACTGGGGGTAAGAAGACCAGAAAGCACCAACAGTGGCAGCAGGGGGAGGGTGGTGAGAGTGACAGGGAGGGTGTCATCGGCTAGATCTATGTGAATCTTAGATCGAGATCAAGAATGATGAAAGTATTGAACGTGGATTTTTTCCTGCTGTGTATAGATCTAGAGTCTAGAACTAGACTAGGTGAATCTAGATCGAGATCAAGAATCATGAAAGTATTCTTGAAAGTGGATTTTTCCTACTGTGAACAGATCTAGAAATCTAGGCCATCTGTGACGCCTGTCGGTTGTTAAAAATGTGAATTTCTAAACTTAGATCTATCTATGGGCAAAGGCTCCTTCTTTCAATTATTGGCCTAGATGTCTTTATAATCCTTCGAGATCTGGGCTAGATCTAGAATTTAGATTAGGTTCTTCTAGGAAGCAACAATTGGCATGTAGGCCTAACTCTTTTTTTAAAAAGGTGATTGAGCTGGAACTTTAGGAGAAAATGCCACGCCTTTGAAGAGGGAGAAGAAGTCTTACAACCCCTAGAGGTAGTCAAGAGGGGTGCTACATGGATAAATTCAAGGTAAAATATTTGTGTTTTGTTTCTTTCCTGTTTTCAGTCTTGTTCCTCTTCTTAACTTTCCTAATAATTCTTCATTATTATTCCGTTGGTAGAACGGGTACTTTTATTACTAGTCGTCTTAATAATCGCCCTAGATTTATCCTCACAACACGCTGAATTTGTTTGTCGTGTCATGTAGCCTATGGCTATATGCACATTATATGGTGCTTTTTCGGTAGTTCCCACCCCACCATTGCTATTCGCGGGTTTGGCCCCAAGGGGGGTTTCAGGGGGCCTGCCCCCCTGGCCTAATAAAAATAAGGTGGGGGGTTTCAGGGGATTTTTACCATAATATGATGTTTTGCAGTTGTTAGGTTTGATATCTTAGCTTGCCGCGCATCAAACGTATCTAGACCTGGATTTAGATGTAGATCTAGGCTCAAATAAGGGGGGTGGGAACTACCGAAAAAGCACCCATTATAATTATATTCCAACCGAAACAAGTCTATGACATGTGGTATTACTCAAACTCACCACAGAATATCAGAATGTTTTGTGGTGAAGGCCTACTCAACTTAGACTGTACTGTACGTACCTCCTCCTCCTCCTACTGACCATTACGCGTTGGCTACCATGACCATGTCTGTCATACTTATATCGCCATTGGTTGCGTCAATTGCCACCGAGTGACGCGGTGGCAATTGACAAAAATTGACTTTTTGTCAATTGCCACCGAGTGAAGCGGTGTCAAGTCTGAAAACAACACTACTATCTTTAGGCTTAGCATTATAATGTGTGTCTAAAGGGTCAATTTGTTCTGAACTAATTTAATAAGACAAGCATCCAATTAATCAATCTAGATATAGATCTAGATCTAGTCTAGAACTACGGTACCAACTTGTTTTCAATGAGACGTATGCCTAGATCTAGGCTAGCCTTAGCCTAAACTTTGGTGTAGAACCAACTCGGGCAATTACAGAAGTAGAAGGTCACAAACGCACACAAACTCAAGCAGAAATTCACGTTATATCGGGGAACATAAATCGGGGGGACGGGGGTCAGGAAAACACACACACACACACACACACACACAGAGGGACAGAGAGGCGAACGCACAACGTCAACACTGAGCACTGAGCACTCGAGCACAATAAGCTAGATCTACCCACCAATGCAAAAGAGCTCCAATTTACTCGGTGGCAATTGACAAAAAGTCAATTTTTGTCAATTGCCACCGCGTCACTCAGTGGCAATTGACACTACCATCGCCATTTGACATGATTAGAATATCTATCCTAGAATCTAGATCTAATACTAATATCTAGATCTAGATCAATTAAAATCTAAATATAATATTTTTAACATGGCTAGAAGCAGCAAGAACAACAGACACCACTGACTGTTACCTGTAACGCAAGACAAGACAGTGAAGTGGAGGTCCATGATCGCCCACGCCTACGCCAATCTGAGTCGGCAAGGCACCGGATGATGATGATAATATTTAGCCTTACAACATGATTGTTGTAAAATCTTCGAGTCTATCGTTCTCCACAGGAGCTGCATATAAACATAATCGATGTCCAGATCAGGTTTTCCTTGTGTGTATTACAAGTTACAAATTGCACAATAGAATCTCCTGTCTCCTTCGCCTGCACGCGCACACCGCCTCTGGCCTCAGCCTGCACCTGCACAATTTCGTTTTGCGACTTTTGGTGCAATTGGTAATCTACAGTTTTAGCAGTTCAAATCAAAGGAATCCGTAATCGTTGAATTTCGCAATCAAACAATGTTGAGATACATTTGCAAGGCCTATGTTTGAACGTAGTCTAAAGAAAAATACAATGTAACAAAGCAACCCCTTGCTTTTATCTCTCTTATTTTGTATTAACAACCTGAAAGTCGATCTTTCAGGTAGAATGACTAGATCATAGATCCAGATTTACATGAACGTGTACAAATAGAAAGAATAAAATTCAATACTAATAAATCTACACTTTTATGTACACCTTCTTCAAAACCATTTGTTTATTTATAATGACTACCTAAAGTATGAGTTTTTCCCTATCAATACTATCATGTCTTAGCAATTTTCCCCGAATCCAATAAACACTTGTCTCTGTATTTCCATCACATTAATTTTAATGCGTTCCATTGACATCATGAAATTCTCGTTATTGCGAGTTCATTTTTGTCTGACCGCGGTTAACAATGTAGTCTACAATGGAATCATTCTGTTTAATCTTCTCCGATCATTACGGGACTACTATGTTGGATGACCAACAGAATCTAAAACAAAATCTAAATGCCTATTCATAGCCTAAAGGTTACTGCAAGCTGAGGTTCCGACACGTTTCCTTTAGTGTTAGCCTAGTATAGCAGGCAACAATAAAAATTATTATTGTGGCATTTATAGCAATTTATTATTTATATTATGCTCCGTGCAATTTACCGAACTGCGCAATCTTCTGTGCCTTTTAACGATCCTATAATTGCGCGGCCATCTTAAGATTGTGCTGCCCGTTTTATCGATCGTTAGTAATTCGTTACGCGCAGTGCAGTCTTAAGATTGCGCTGTGCGTTTTAACGATGGTATAGATCTAATTGCACGGCAATCTGAAGATTGCATTAATATTTATTTTTTTCAGTCATTTCTTTTACACACGATCCATCTTTATTCTTTTACTCCCACCAAGGAAAATTCAAATACATTTTCAAGAGTGTAAAAATATGAAAACGAAAATTAATATAATATGATGTGAGTAAAAGAACAAATATAAAGATGGAAGTGATTTTTTAAAATTATTTCAAAAGTATAAAATAAATTAAATGTACTTTGTGGACTTTGAGTTTGATACCTGGCATTGTATCATTCTTGTGAGACCTTCAGTTTTATTGTTAATTATAATTTTAATTTTCACATTTTTACTCTTTTGAAAATGTATGTGAATGTTCTTTGATGTGAGCAAAGCAAGGAATAAAGATGGAAATGTATTTTTTTTTCAAAAAATATAAAATATTAACGCTTTTCCTCATGGCCGGGCAATTATACCATCATTAAAACTCGCAGCGCAATCTGAAGATGGCCACGAAATTATAGGATCGTAAAAACGCACAGATTGCGCAGATCGGCAAATTTCACGGAATATACACCAAAAACACACAAGAGTTGACATGATATTATTTTCCTGTTTACCCATAGAATTATATAATAACCCCATTTTAAACCTATAGTGTACTTCTATGTACGTATTTATACCACACGCCAACGTTCTCCAAAGAAGCACGATTATATAGAATGAGGGTGATATCATACTTGTTGAGACTCACGTGGAGACTAGGAGACAACTAGACAGTAGGGGGACGAACACGCACGGACGCGCGCACATACACACGCGCGCACACACAACACACACACACACACACACACACACACACACAAATACATATACATACATACATACATACATACACACACACAC